CAAAACCCTGAGATCACAACCTGAGCCAAAACCAAGAGTCAGACCCTTAACCAACTGAAACACGCAGGTGCCCCCGGGGGATATCTTTCTAGAAGTGAAACTATTAGGTCAGAAGGCATGTGCCTTACTACTGCCAAACTTCAGTCTGTACTAGATTGTGTTCCTGTTAATATCCCATATCTTCATCCCAGGCCTACAATTTGAAAGTAAGCTGTCTTAAATCCCTAACAACCTGCAAGAAATCATGCACTCGGGACCATTTCTATTAGTGCCATAATGTTAAATAGGCTGAAACAGGTTCTTTCCTGGTGTTGGTTGACTCATCTGATTTTTAGATTAATAAAAGCAAGTAGGAATTGGGAACAGCCGCGGGAGCAGAGTAGAGAGGAGGAGCTTGGCTCAAAGAGTAGATTATATTCCAGGTTGTAAGCTTCCCAAATGAATCCTTTGAGGCTTAATCTCACTTCTCTGGGGACCCTCAGGCTTTGACTTAGGCCTTTTTTTTTTTTTTTTTTAAAGATTTTATTTATTTATTTGACAGACAGTAAGAGAGGGAACACAAGCAGGGGTAGTGGGAGAGGGAGAAGCAGGCTCCCCACAGAGCGGGGAGCCCGATGCGGGGCTCGATCCCAGGACCCTGGGATCATGACCTGAGCCGAAGGCAGACGCTTAACGACTGAGCCACCCAGGCGCCCCGACTTAGGCCTTTTGATTTAAATGATCTTAAGACTTGAATGTCTGCTTCCTTCCCAGATGCTGTGGACTCGAAAGGGCACGGGGCTGCCGGATATGTTGCTTTTAAGACTGTGGTGGCTGTGGGTGCCTTAGCAGGCCTGGTGGCAACTCTAGGCCTCATCAGCTACCTGCACAAGAAAAGAACCATGATGTTAAATCACTAAGGATTTTCAAATAAAGTGGTTGAAGTAAGCTGCCTGCTTTTACCTCATTAAACTTACATGGAGTTCAAGGATGGCTTCTTGCGGTCACACTTGTAGAAGGAAGGTAGAACCTTTCCACAATCCTAATGTGTAGGCTGTGTAGATGCAAATAAGGAAATTCAGGACTTAATTGCTTCCTGTCCTTCAGTTTTCTGACCTCCACTCCCCAAACTGGCAGTGCCACAAAATTCAACCAGCAGGTCTTAGCTACAGCCCAGCTCTGGGGCTGCCTTTAGATGACTAGTCTTTCACCCCTCCATCATATATGCAAGATGTGGAGACAAGAGGTCACCCTTTGTCACCAGAAGGGCAGAGTAACCAGGTGTTCCCAAGGAATTTAGTGTTGTGCTTCACTGTTTCCTAACTCAAATTACTCTTTGAAAGAAACTTGCCCTGAGAACTTGAAGGTATTCAGTTATTGTTCCCTGTATTCATCATGCAATTTGAGAACAGCAATCTCCCTTGGGGGACAGAAAAGAATATAAGGTTCTGGTTTTCTTAGGGGCAATCACAACAGTCCTAGTCTCATTAAGCCTCCACAGCTGTACACCAGCCCCTTAGCTGAGCCTGAAAAGCTGCTTTCCCACTACCTACACTTGATTATTCCCTCCTCCTGAGCCTTTTTCCCCTGAGGGTCCCCCCAGCTTTTCCACTGCAATTATATCAATATGACTAGTGTTTGCTTCACACTGTAGCTCTAACAGACTATCTTCAAGATAACGAATACAGAAATGAACTCGATTGTATCCTTCAACTAGAAAAACCTAGATCTAAACAAGAATTTTGCTAGGGAAAAAGTCCTAAAGCTTTTAAATATCTGTACAGGGCTGGGAGGTGAAAACAAAGTCCTCAATGTGTTAGACTTTTTCAACCCTCAATTGGGAGTAGTCATTCTGACTTTTAATATTCTTTCCTCAAGAAGGAAAGAATATTACATATACTGCAGCTCTTTAATGGTGGATTCCTCCTTTTCTTCCAATATACCTTCTCATTCTAAATCCTTTGAGATTAATATGGTAGAACTCAGCCCTGGTGTGGGGAAGATCTGTGCGAGAGATCTGGTCTTTCTAGAGTAACAAGGGTCAAAAGTTCAAACGATCTCATTAAAGCCATTCTTTGGATATAGCTTTAGAAGGGAGTAAGGCCTTAATCTGCTAATGGTAAATGGTCTTGGAGTCGAGCTTTTCTGTGACTGACAAGGTGAAGTGTTACACATTAGAACCAGAAACCTTGCATGTGCTTGCATGTACTTTTTTAAATGGCATTTCAAAGTTGGCCACTTAAGGGGTTTCCTGTTACCCGGTGGTAGGCTGAATAATGACCATCCCAACCTGGGGTGGACCCCATCCCAGGTCCACCTCCTACTCCCCAGAATCTGAATATTCTCTACATGGTCCCAAAGGGACTTTGCAGATGTGGCTAAGGGTCCTGACATGGGGATATTACCTAATAAGGCCCCCATCACACAGGTCCTTATAAAAAGGGCAGAAGGATCAGAGTCAGAAGACGTCCCAATGGAAGCAGAAATCAGTGGGGGGCCACAATCCACAGAATGTGGGCAGCCAATATTAGCAAGGATGGCAAGGAAATGGATCTCCACTAGAGCCTCAAGGAACACAGCCCTGCTGCCCCATTTTGGACTTCTGAATCCCAGAGTTGTAAAATCCCCAGTATTTTAGGCTACTAAGTTTGTATTAATTTGTTGCAACAGCAATAGGAAACAAATACATGAGTCCCTACCAACAATACTTTGCTAGAAATGCACACATTTTACAGAAGAGCAACTTAGGCCCTAGGGTAGCTGGTCCAAGATATACTATCTTGATGAAGGAGCTGGAGCCTCTCTTCTCCAAGTCGGCCTGTTTGTGTAGTGCCGCGGGTCAGGATCGTGGTGACCCGGCCCCCAGGCTGCCCCCACAGCAGGGCTTGGCTCTGACATTTGCCACAGCGCTGGAGCAAACTCAGAGAAAAGCAAAGCTCGCTGTGGAGCAGCTGCTGGGATGAACACTTGTTGCCATGGTAGCCTGGAACAAGTACAATGAGTGATTCAAGTTATGTTCTCAACTTCTGAAGGTTCACATCCTACCGTACATGGGGGAGGCAGCCTAGCACTGTGGGGAAAAAGTGAGCTCAAGTCACAGGAGGCTGCTCCTTCACCCAGACTCATGGTGGCAATCTCGCCTATGCAGTAGGGATGAGCTGTAATTATCACAAAGGTCCCAGGAGGTAGATGAGGGGCATGTGGAGTCTAACACTCTACCAAACAGTTCGGATAGTAGAGGTTATGGGGGCTGGGAATGGACCCGCATGCCTTGGGAAGTTCCCTCTAATGTTGAACTTTCCTTCCCTGCCCCATTCTGCTGACTCAGGCGGTTTTATGAAATTTCTCGGATTCTAGAATAAGAGCTGGGCTTGGGTTCTGGATCTATGTCTCTCTTGCTGTGCAACCTTAGGCAGGTAGAACAATCTCTGAGCCTATTTCCACATCTGTAAAATGAGAATAAAACCTATTTTGGTAAAAACGGGACAAAAATCAAAAAAACTATTTTGGGGGTACCTGGATGGCTCAGTCAGTAGGACATGTGACTCGATCTTGGGGTTGTCGGTCTGAGCCCCATGTTGGGTGTAGAGATCACACAAAATCTTAAAAACAAAAAACAAAACCTACTTTGAAAGCATGTGAGGGTTCAGTGAGATAGTCAATAGTCAAAGTCTTGGCGTATGTGCTGCCCAGTCAGCACTGGAATCAACTAAATAAAACCTCAGAAATAAAATTATAAGCAACTGACGGTTGGAAAAAGCTATGTGCTAGATGAGAGATTCTTAATCAGGCACATATTTTGAAGAATATACATGTCCTGACCCCACCTACTAAACTAGAATCTTCAAGGAGGGGGGTCTAAGCATGTTTAGACTCTGTGGGAGGCCAAATAATGGCCCCAAAATATCCATGTCCTAATCTCAGAAACCTGTGAATGTTCCCTTCCATGGGAAAAGGGACTCTATGTACACGATTCATTTAAGGGTCCTGGATGGGGAGATTATCTGGATCATCCAGCTGGGCTCTAACTGCAATCACAGGGATCCCTCTAAGAGAGAGGCAGGGAGAGATCTGACGACGGGAAGGAAAAGGCAATATGACGATGAAAGTGGGGACTGGAGTGATGCACCATGAGGACGAGGGAGGGGCTACCAGCTGAGGAAAACAGGTGGACAGTTCTTCAGCTAAAGGAGTTCAGGAAAAGGGCTTTCCTCTGGAGCCTCTAGAAGGAACCTGCCTCACTGGCACCTTGACTTTAGCCCAGTGAAACCAATTTTAAACTTCTGACCTCCAGAGTAAATTGGTTATTTTTAAGCCACTGGCCCTGTGGTAATTTGTTACGGCAGCAAGAGGAAACTAATACAAACTCCTCTGGTGATTCTGACATACACCCCTGGGTAAGAATCGCTGTATCAGACAAAGGCAGAGGCTGGCAAACTTTGTCACAGACAACGTGTTACAAACTCACATTGTTGCTCACACACAGGGATTAAGGACATGGGAGCAGTTTATTGTTTCAAGGATGTGGCAGATTCAAGTTGCAATCAGCTTCATTTCTAAACTATAGTATATCCTGGTGGAATTGAAGAATTGCTGAGGACACAAGTCCATCCTGAGATGGGAATTGAAGTTGTAACCCACTGAGGTAACAGAATGAGAATTACCTTTTATGGCGCTCTCTGCTGTGCCGATAAGCAGGAAATCCACGGGGTTACATTCCTTTTGGCTTGAAGGTGGTGGTGAGCGGGGTGGGAAGTTACCTCACTGTGGGCAGGACAGGGGGTCCGCAGAAGGTAGAACATGCAGTGCCTGGCATATCCGTAGCAGCTTCCGCCTGATGAGTTGATGGACTCCAGTGTGTGTAGGCTGGGCTATTAGGTAGCATAAGTACCACTTCTTCTCTTGAGAGTAGATTTCCCTGCCAGAGGTTAGAGTTCTGGCTAACCTCTCCTTGGTCTCGACCTTTGATCACACAACACCCCAGGAATCTTGCTTTGTGAAAAAACACAACCAGAACACTCATGAGTGTGCTGGGACTGATACTGTAGGCTGCTTAATCAAAAAGGGTTTCCTTCCCCCTTTCTTTTCCTGTGATATTGTGATTTATAGTAAGAAATATATATTTGGTCTTTGTCCCCATTTAGCACAGAGCTCCTAAAACACTTGGAATTTCCTAAGTGTTGAGAGCAGTTAAGGAGCCTTTTGTTCCATTAATAGATGACTTTGGGAAAGCCCCTAGATAACCTAGAGAAGGGGGCTGCTTGCCAGGGAAACCAATCTTGAGTAGAGGGTAGAAACTTTCAGTCTTACCCCCTTGATTTCTGGGACTTGGCCAGTGACTTAACTGATCACACCTACATAATGAAGCTTCCATTAAAACCCCAAAGCAGAGGATTCAAAGAGCTTCCGGGTTGGAGAACACGTGGAGATTTGGGGAGAATGGTGCTTTCAGAGAGGACATGGAAGTTCCTTGTCCTTTCTCCAACCCTATGCATCTCTTCCATCTGGCTGTTCCTGAGTTACATCCTTTAATAATAAACCAGTAAACCAGTAATCTAGTAAGTAAACTGTTTCTCTGAGTTCTGTGGGACACTCCAGCAAATCAATCAAACCCAAGGAGGGTGACATTAGAACCTCCCATCTGTAGCCAGACCATCAGAAACACAGGTAACCACCTGGACTTGTGACTGGCATCTGAAGCAAGGTGGGGTGGGTGGGGACAGTCTTGTAGGACTGAGCCCTTAACGTGTGGGATCTGATGCTATCTCCAGGTAGATAGTGACAGAATTGAGTTGAATTGTAGGACACCCAAATGGCACCAGAGAATTGCTTGGTGGTGTGGGGAAACCCCCATATGCATTGAATTGGGTCCCAGAAACCCCTTCTTCCCTAAAAAGAGAACTTTGTGTTCTGGAATGGCATCGTATATCCCTAGGGGATATACCCTGATGGTGCTAAATAATCAAGATAAAGTCTCATTCCCCTTGCAGATCAGCTACCAGCAGGCACATGGTTCTGTTCAATGAGATTTAAAGGGATATTAGAAGGGAGGCATCTGTCTTTTTCTTACTGGTTTAAAAAAAAAAAAAGGTATGTAAGGCTAACCCCTTTTCTTCCTATCTGTGGATGTGGTTGTGTGACATTGTGATTCTTTGAGCTGTGGCAGCCATCTTGTGACCATGAGGAAACAAGCCTAATGACACTGAGAATGGTGGAGTAAAAACATGGAAAACCTCGATTCCTGATTACTTCATTGTGTTATCTGAATCAACCCTGCAATCACTTGTATCTTGTTAAAAAGAAAGCCACAGGCCTCCCGAAGGAGGAACTCGTGCTAGGCCAAGTCACCAAACCAGAGCTTAATATCTAATCTCATTGCAGTTTTAACCTCCCCCAGAAATGAAGTCTTAACTGGTCAGTCAGGACTTTTCTAGTCAGCACCAATGAGGTAATCTATCACATGGGCCCTCTCCATTCCCCAAAGGAAGATGAGGTCACCCAGCCCTTCCCTCTAAGGGAAAGTGACCTTGCCTAAAGCAATATATTCTTTTGCTAATAACATCTTTGCTCCACCTTCCTTCCTATTTAAAAACCTTCCATTTTCTACAACTCCTCGGAGCTCCCCTCTACATGCTAGATGGGATTCATGACTTGCTTCATAAAACCAATTAGATCTTCAAGTTTACTCAGTTGAAATTTTGTTCTTCAACAATCTTTCATGTTTAGTGAGATGCTAAGGATTCCTATTTTTTTTTAGGGAGGCAGTTTGTTTCTTGTAGGTAAAAGTATTCAAAATGATTCAGGATTAAAGAAGCTTTATTTTTAGAAGAATGACTATGGCTATAATTTGCATCTATAAGAACACACCAAGTTACATGTAAGCTTTCTTTTGGATTAATAGCCAAATTTGCATAAACCACAAATAAGAACACCTTCTGTTAACAAATTTACTTTGCTTTGGCTCCCTCAAGGCACAAGAAGACCAGAGTCTTATTCTATTCATCTTTGGATTCCCATGGTCCTTAGGGGAGGGAAGTGATTGAACCAAAAATATAGTACAAAGAAGCTCAATTCTGTGAAAATTAATAAAGGGAAACCCCACTAAATGAAGTCAGGAGATTTTGGCAGGGGAAGCTCCCATGCCCTACCACCCCAACTCAATTGCAGACCCAACAGGAAGAGACTGACGTGACTGTGAACATAGATACCACTCTTCTACTTCAGCCAGAGGAAGAGCTACTTTCCTCATTCCCACCCCCACCCACCAGGCAACAGCCAATGAGAAGCCACTATACTTCCAACTCCCAGTTCCTCTAATGGACTTCTAGTTCATAACAGTCTTCCCAACTTACCCCTTCTCTCCTTAAAAAAGCGAGCCTTGAGGTGCCTGGGTGGTGCCATGGTTAAGTGTCCGACTCTTGATTTCAGCTCAGGTCATGATCTCAGGGTCATGAGATCAAGCCCCACATCGGGCTCTGCGCTCAGCATGGAGTCTGCTTGAGATTCTCTCTCTCCCTCTCCTTCTGCCTCCCCCAACTCGTGGACTCTTGTTCTCTCTCTCTCTCTCTCTCTCTCAAATAAATAAATAAATAAATAAGCCTGTCTCTCCTTTATTTCCTGGACTTGCCTACAGTTTTGCCGCAGCTTGTTTGTCAAAGATTGCAATTCTCTTTTATTCCCAAATAAACGCATCTTCTGCTGGTAAAATAACCGTCAGTGTATATTTTTGAGGTTAAACATTCAAAGCAGACAGTATGGTCTCTTCACTTCCATACCTAGGGATGGGTCCTCCCCCCACCTTAATGCTGTTAGGGTCAGAGGAGCAGGGAAGATGCCGTGAAGTAAGCCCTGGATGCAGGAAACATGGGTTCCAGCCCAGGCACTGCAGACTAACAGTGGCCGTAGGTAAAGCAGTGGCCCGTCTCTGGCCTCAGGTGTGACATCTTCAGGAAGACAGGATTGAAGAGGGCTTCTATGACCTTGCTACCCAAGGCGTGGTCTGTGGAAGGCTTCACCTGGGAACTGATAAGCAACATAGAAACTCAGGTCCTGCTCCAGACCTACGGACTCAGGATCTGCCTTTTAGCAGGACCCTTGTACGATGCACATTAACGTTTACGATGCACAAGTCCAGTTTCTTCCAGTTCTCAGTGCTGTTCTCTGCTGAGCCAGCTTCAGATTGCTGGATATGAGCTCCCTCTTCTGGCTCAACAATTAAGTACTTTCTTTAGGAAACATTTGTTCCATTTCCACCTGCTGTTTTTGTTTTGTTTTGTTTTGTTTTAAGGGTTTCAAATGGGGCTTGAAGCTCCAGCACCGACATAGGGGCATAAGGTCTCCTACGCATGTGTATGGAGCCTTGAGTCTCCTCCCAAGTTTTGGAAAGCCAAATGACACCCACTGCCCTCTCCAATCTGGATGGCTCTCCGATTCCCAACTGCCAAGTAGTCCACCTTCCCTGTGTCTCATCCTTGTCACTTCTGCTTTAACAAAAAAGCAGGGAGAGGGAAGCAAACCGAACCTGAGCCGGCAGCCGATGATGGCGTTCTTGTGATCTAGTCACCAGCCAGCTCTGAGACCTTTGGCAAATGGTTACCTGTTGGCTCAGTTTCCTCTCCTGCCAGTTGATGAATATGGCAGGAAGATGGAACAGAGGGAACTTGCAAAACTGTTGTGAAAGGTCAAAATGGTAATGGGTATGAAAGGTCTTTGGAAACCTGACATCCTTCACAAATGTGAAGGTGTTTTCCTGATGCCATTACTGTAACTGACTGCTTTAGTGCAGACCTGGCCGATTCCAGCCTCATCCCAGACGAGCTCAGGTATTGCTGAGCCTAACGCTCTTTTATTATTATTATTATTATTATGTTATATTAGTCACCATACATTACACCATTAGTTTTTGATGTGGTGTTCCATGATTCATTGTTTGCATATAACACCCAGTGCTCCATGCAGAACGTGCCCTCTTTAATACCCATCACCAGGCCAACCCATCCTCCCACCCCCCTCCCCGTCAGAACCCCCAGCTTGCTTTCCAGAGTCCATCGTCTCTCATGGTTCATCTCACCCTCCGATTCCCCCCCTTCATTCTTCCCCTCCTGCTATCTTTTTTTTTTTTAACACATAATGTATTATTCGTTTCAGAGGTACAGATCTGTGATTCAACAGTCTTGCACAATTCACAGCACTCATCATAGCACATACACTCCCCAATGTCTATCACCCAGCCACCCTATCCCTCCCACCCCCCACCACTCCAGCAACCCTGTTTGTTTCCTGAGATTAAGAATTCCTCCTATCAGTGAGGTCATATGATACATGTCTTTCTCTAATTGACTTATTTCGCTCAGCCTAACACCCTCCAGTTCCATCCATGTAGTTGCAAATGGCAAGATCTCATTCCTTTTGATGGCTGCATAATATTCCATTGTGTGTATGTATATATATATATATATATATATATATATATATATATATATATATATACCACATCTTTATCCATTCATCTGTTGATGGACATCTTGGCTCTTTCCACAGTTTGGCTATTGTGGACACTGCTGCTATGAACATTGGGGTGCACGTACCCCTTTGGATCCCTACATTGGTATCTTTGGGGTAAATACCCAGTAGTGCAATTGCTGGGTCATAGGGTAGCTCTATTTTTAACTTTTTGAGGAACCTCCATACTGTTTTCCAGAGTGGCTGCACCAGCTTGCATTCCCACCAACAGTGTAGGAGGGTTCCCCTTTCTCCACATCCCCACCAACATTTGTTGTTTCCTGACTTGTTAATTTTAGCCATTCTGACTGGTGTGAGGTGATATCTCATTGAGGTTTTGATTTGGATTTCCCTGATGCCGAGCGATGTTGAACACTTTTTCATGTGTCTGTTGGCCATTTGGATGTCTTCTTTGGAAAAATGTCTGTTCATGTCTTCTGCCCATTTCTTGATTGGATCATTTGTTCTTTGGGTGTTGAGTTTCATAAGTTCTTTATAGATTTTGGATACTAGCCCTTTATCTGATATGTCATTTGCAAATATCTTCTCCCATTCTGTCGGTTGTCTTTTGGTTTTGTTGACTGTTTCTTTTGCTGTGCAAAAGCTTTTTATCTTGATGAAGTCCCAATAGTTCATTTTTGCCCTTGCTTCCCTTGCCTTTGGCGATGTTTCTAGGAAGAAGTTTCTGTGGCTGAGGTTGAAGAGGTTGCTGCCTGTGTTCTCTTTTAGGATTTTGATGGACTCCTGTCTCACATTTAGGTCTTTCAACCATTTGGAGTCTATTTTTGTGTGTGGTGTAAGGAAATGGTCCAGTTTCATTCTTCTGCATGTGGCTGTCCAATTTTCCCAACACCGAGCCTAACGCTCTTAATTCTTGTTTGTCTCCATCAAGATTTCTCAGCCTCGGCACTGACATTTGGGCCTAGATAATTCTTTTTGTAAGGGGCTGTCATGTGCATTGTAGGATGGTTAGCAGCTCCCCTGGCCTCAAGCCCCAAAAGCCAGCAGCAGCCCCTCTCCCAAACACACACACAGTTGTGACAATCAAAAATGCCTCTGCATGCTGCCAAATGTCCCGGGAAATAGGCTCTGGATTCACACTTCTCGGTCTTTTCTGGTCAGTGGAAAATGTTGTTCAGGGATTTCTATGTATAAAGTTCTAGGCTACCCAAAGTGAATATGCAGACATTGTTCCCATCCCCAGAGTGCTGGTGGAGAGGGGGCAGGTAGGGAGGGTAGAAAGAAGGACAAATAGAAGAGAATAGCAGCAAACAAGAGACAATTTAGTCGAGCAAGGGTATAATTATTCCACGGTGTTGTAGCCCTTTTATAATCTAGAGATCACTTGCCTCAGTCTCCCAAAGACTCCGGTTGGGCGGCATTCTCTTTACAGACTAAGGAAGTCAATGCACAGAGAGAAAGGTTGTCATTTGCTCACCATGCCTGTTCCACAAGGGCTGTAAGTATAAAGAGAATGCACATAGCAAGACATGACTTCACGGAGGTATGAACCTGGAGCTGGGTTGTGGAAGGTGGAAATCTTTTGAAGTGGGAGGTTTGGAAGGGGGATGCTCCAGCATCATTGATTTTCAACTTTTCTGCCACACATGTGGATACTATCCACCATAACGACATACTCAAGAGGCACACCAGATTTGTATATAATCCCCACACCTTTCCCCCAAGAAGGCAAAGAAAGCACTTCATTAATTCATAATTGTCACAACTCTTACCAACCAATCAGGGTGTGTGTGTGTGTGTGTGCATGCCTATTTAATCACTCACGATATGTGTATGCACACATGCACATGTGTTTTGGGGGATACCATGGCATAGGTAAGGGAATGTAGGTTATTCTCAAATTCTACCCCCTCTCTCTAGCTCCACCTTTTCTCTCCTGCTCAAGGAAGCACAGCAAAACCTATGTGAAAGTACTCAGCCCTCTTGTGACAACTCACACCTGATCATGCCTTTGCCAGAGTGTTGCAACTCTGCGCTGAATCTCCTGGGTTTTTTAAAACATTTTATTTTTTTAAGTAATCTCTATACCCAATGTGGGGCTCAAACTCACAACCCCAAGATCCAGAGTCGCACACTCTACCGACTAAGCCAGCCAGCACCTCTGAATCCTGTTCTATGCAGAGCAGACAATAGAAGCCATGCACAGGTGCTAGTTGAAATGGTCTTGGGGGACCATTGTCTATGGGGACAACTCTAGGGGGAGCCAACCATTCACATTCCATTTTATGAAACTGGCAATCCCTGGAGTTATTTGACACAGCAGCGAAGGTATGGGTACTGTTAGAGACAGCATATATTAGGGCATGAGTCCAAATCTCAGAAGGCCACAAAGGCAGGTGATGGAGTTGACATTGAACCGCATGCTGGGTACAAGGGTGGGTTTTGCAGTCAGGCAAACTGGGCTTGAATCCCACTTGTTTCCGAGTGCCCTTGACAACTTAACCTCTCAGTCTTCCAGGTTTTTCATCTCTAAAATGGGTGGTAGTGAGGACTGACTGAAAATGTGTATTGATTTGTAGAAGGTTTAAGATAGGGCCCAACACATGGCAAAAACAGGCTCCTGGACAAACTGATAAATTAACATTCTGGCTGTATAAAGTCACAGTTTTCATGCTCTAAGGATAAATTACCTTTCCCAATGAGTCACACATTGAACTATGCCTAAAAGGCAGGCACCTTTTGAATAATCGGGGAGACCTAACATTCCTCCAAGCTTGGTTAACAATAGGCCTTTCACATGTTCCTGTTCCACTTAGTTTTAAATGATGGTGCACTGTGTGTTTTGACAACTATGCTTTATGGTTCTATTCTGGGGCAGGCTCTCTGCTGGGTTCTGTACATTATTTTACTTTGATCATCAAAGGCCTTGGGCTCCAGGCAATGTGATGGAGAGCCTGAACTGCAAAGCCAAGATTTAGATGCCACATTTCCTGGCCGAATTAGTGAGTCAGTTTCAGTTCTGCTCTAAATCTTAGTTTCACGCCTAAAATCCGAGGCTGATGGATATAAAGAAAGAGAAGCCAGCAGGGGCAGCTTGTGATGGGTCTTACCCAAGTGCAGTGGGAAAGCACCTTGCACTTTGCAGAGTTTGAAGCAAGGATGTTCATGTAATCAGAAATATGTTTTAAAACGATCTCTTGGCCACTTCTAGGAGAGTATTCCATAAGACGGCTGTGTAAAGCTCTCAGCACTGAAAACACTTCCAAATCTTGTATCCCCAGCCCAGACCTACACTCTAAGCTGTCTACCTCACACCCCCAATTAATGTTAAAAAGGCCTATCTAACTTAATATGAGCAAAGGAGATTTTGAATATTCACCCAGCCTCCATCTCAGAAAAGTGTCTCTATCTACCCACTGGCTCAAGTTAAAAAACTTAGATGCCATCCAATGTCCTCCCTTCCTTCATCACCCACATGCAATCCCATCACCAAATGCTGCCGGCTCTCCAAATTAGGAAGGTCTCCATCACCTCCACCCCCGTGTGGCGCCACAACCATC